CTTGACATCATAAAAGTGTGATGTATCCTAAACCATTATGCATTATAATTATTCTTTTTAAATTTTGGTCAGAAACAACCTCTAATCCTCAACGAATAGCTATTTTCTTTAATATTCTCTCCTTCCCCTTCCTTTCTTTTTCCCTATTCCTCTTTTTGTCCTTCTTTTCTTCCCCCTCTCTCCTTTTAGATTCCATATCTTTGAAAGTGTGGATCACTATCAAATGTGCATTTGAATGTATAAGTAATTCTTTTCATAGGCATGTGTTGACTTTATTAGGGCTAGTTCTTTTTTTCTTTTTGGCAATGACCTGCAAGTTGGGCTAGTTTTTATATACATTCATATATATATATATAATAAATATATACATACATATCTTATTGTTATTGTAATTGTGATGTACAGAGGGGTTACATTTACATAAGTCAAGTAATGAATACATTTCTTCGTGAACAATATCACCTCTCCCAGTTTTTCCCTCCCAACTCCACCCACAAGTTGTATAGTTCATTTTCAACATAGTGTCTAGTGAGTACCACTGCTGCATTTGCTTACCCTCTGTCTCACCCTTTCTGTACCTTTCCTTATCCCCCCAAGACAATAAACTAACAAACACGATAAAAGGTAAAGAAAATAAAAACACAAGAAAAGCCCACAAAAAACTCTCATTTCATTTTTTGAAATAAATTTCAATAAATATTATTTTATATGATCATATGCACATAGCTGTTGAGCTTTTGTGATCCTATCCTAAGAATATCCTCCTTTGGTCTCACTATGTGACTATCTAGATTTCTTGTAGGAGTCAAAATACATTATTGAATATAAAAAGATGGCAGGAAAAGAGGTGGTAATGAAACAGACTGGAATGTTCTACTCAGTCTAAAGAAAGTAAAATAAGGCACACTAGCAGTCATGCTAAGAGCAGAGAAGTTTGCATACTACACTGTACTGGCTGATCGGTCTGTCATGAGAAAAAGATAAACTGTACCATTCAGGTCTGCAGTTACCTCATAAATGTGCATCCACAATTAAACATAGTTGTATTTGTAGGAGATGAACTGCATTAGGAAACAATGAATAATTTTTCTTTGGTGTGGCATTGAATAAATTAGACTTGAAGCCGAAAGATTTGTAATGTAACAGAGATTGGGTAAAGAGCAAAAATCTTACGTTGCAGATCTTGGCTCAGTAATTGGGAAAAATGTTCTAATAATCAGAAGGTCTGAAAATTGAAATAGGTGATTTTTCTAAGCCTGTTAACTTCAGTCATTGGAAAAAATTAAAACAGAAGTTGGATTCTGGTCAATGCCAAATTATATAAAACTTTAAGCAAATTAGGATATACCCTGTCTGGTAAACTTAATAAAGTTCCTTCCTTCTATATGGATATAGTTCTGAACAGAGAAGGGCTTTCAGCTTCTACTTTTCTCTTTAGATAATAGCCTCTTATAGTGTATTCTTATTAAAATGACATAGATCAACTTACAGAACTAAGTATGAATTAGGAACTGATGCCATCCATGGCTTACAAGACTCAATTTCCAAGTATAACTTTGATATAAGTCAACTTTTGAGTTGTCCCAGTCTCCACACAGGTAAACATCATGCTTTAATCAAAAGTTATATGAGAATGTCAGTCTTCATTTGTATCTCTCAAAAACCATTAAATGTGATCCAGTTTATAACCTGAACAATATTTCCCCAAAGACTCTTACCTCACTCAATCCTGGCCCAGTTCCCTTACATTTCATCATTGTTCCAGGGACTCTCATATGCCAACCCTTGAAAATCTCTCTGAAGCTTCAATCCATGTGGTTTTCTACCTATCTTGTGCCTCCCTGTCCCTCCTGCACTTTCCATTAAGGTTTTCCTCTATCCACATTGCAAATTTTATAACATAGGGGGATGGACTGGTGTTGAAGAGAGAACTTTTGCTAGAACATGAAGAGAACTGGGTGAAATTGAGTAAGCAGAAGATCAAATCTTTCCTCATCTATCTCTGATTCTTTTTCCCTTTCTGCCCATTTTCCTGATTCTTTCACAGCACAGTGTAAAAATTAGGCTGAGATGGATTAAGTGATTTGGGGGTAATTTCAGGAATAGTACCAACTGGATCCTACAGTCAGTAGACCTTTCTACAAGATCCTAAGGAAAATGATAAAGCAACATCTTCAAATAACTGCTACTCAAAACATTTACAGTCTTGTAAGCCAAACTCAATAGAATCACATGAATAGAGCTTAAAGAAGAAAATCAATATGCCATAAAAACTACTACAGCTCTACATCCATGAAAATCTTAAAGGGTTGATGATAATATTGCACGCAACGAACTCTGGGAAGCCCAGGAAGGATTCATGGAAAAGAAAAATAGTAGACGTTTAGATGGTGTGATTAGAGAACTGGGAACTCAATATAGAAGAAAATTAGGGAAATTAATATTAGGCTGAGGAGTCAAAGTAGAATGGAATACATAAAGGGTGCTCTTATCCACTGAAGCAGAGGGTCTAGGCAGATGCAAAGCCTTTTTTTCCTCAATGGTAATAACATTTCTCCCCCTCTGAGCTCCTGTATTAATTATTGTATGACTTTATTATTAATTTACTCTATTTTCCCTGAAGTTAGATTCACATTTTCCAATTTTCTTCATCAAATGATTCTTAATACAGAGTCAATCACTACTCCATCCTTATGCAGAATCCTCTAGTAAGAACACTCTTCCCACAAGAATCTACTGGATTATAGCCTTTCATATATTATCTCAAATATACATTTATTTAATAAAATTTTACTGGCCTAAATAGAGTTGAAGAGATACCAACTACAAGAGACTAGAGATGGGCCATATTGCTTTTACTAACAGCTTTAAGACTGATATTGGAGGTTGCAAAAATTGAAACATAGCAATGCAGTGACCAAAGGGATGATTTAAGAATAAATTTTCTACTGGTCCTCATCTGAGATAGAAGAAAATAAATTCATCTTTTTAATTTAAAGGTGTTGTACTAGATGTGTAACAAGAGGCACCCCATATAGATAATATGTAATAAGGTACCTTTGTCATTAAAATTTTTGAACAAATAATTTTAACCTCCTAGAATTTTTTGAGTGCAATCTTATTTCTGTACAGAAATCTCTTCATAATGTTTCCTTTGTTGATTAGAAATATTGGGGGAAAAGATTTATTTTAATTTTTTGCCAGGCCTGGGGCTTGAACTCAGGGTCTAGACATTGTTGAAAGCTAGCACTCTACCACTTGAGCCACAGTACCACTTCTACCTTTTTCTGTTTATGTGGTACTGAGGAATCGAACCCAGGGCTTCATGCATGCTAGGCAAACACTCTACCACAGCCCCAGCCCCTTTAGGAAATTTTTTTTCTTTTTTTTTGGGTCCGGTTGTGGGGCCTGAACTCTGGGCCTGGGTGCTGTCCCTCAGCGCTTCAGCTCAAGGCTAGTGCTCTACCACTTGAGTCACAGCGCCACTTCTGGCTTTTTTCTTTTTGCTTATGTGGTGCCTCATGCATGCAAGGCAAACACTCTACCACTGAGCCACCTTCCCAGCCCCTCTTTAGGAAATTTTTGACTAAGAAACTTTCAATACTATTCGTTAGCTGAATTTCTCCTCCCTCTTAGTCATAAAATATTTTAGAAGTGCTAGCAGTAATGTGATTTTAAGGCTTCTACATAGATCCACCTGTTTATGTGAATTCTCTGTGTGTGTGTGTGTGTGTGTGTGTGTGTGTGTGTTCAGTTTAGCTAGGTTTTGAATTCAGGGCCTGGTTGCTGTCCCTTAGCTTTTTGCTCAAGGCTATCACCTTTACTCCTGTAAAGTAAAGTAAAGCCACAGCTTCACTCCTGGATTTTTGGTGGTTACTTGGAGATCAGAGTCTCAAAGACTTTCTTGCCTGGGCTGGCTTTGAACTGTGATTTTCAGAGCTCAGTCTCCTGAGTAGCTAGGGCGATGACAGGTGCGAACCACTGGCACCCAGCAGCAAAGTCTTCATTACTAAGATTTACCACGAAATTTTAAATGATTGAAATTACACAAGTAATAGCTGTTGATTGATGATTTTCACCAAGTTTTCAGTTATTTCTTTTCATTTTCTAAGTGTAAGTTCGGGACTTAGATGAATTTCTTCTAGTATAGAATTCATGCAGTATGTAAAACAAAGATTAATGTTTGTGAGGGAATAGCAACATAAAGTGTTAAAAGTAGATTAAATAGATCAGTTGAATCTAAGTTTTAATACCAAAAAATAGAATATTACAACTTAGGCTCTGAACAGCACCCCTCCCCCTCCCAAAAGAAATTATGTAAATAGAGAACAACACCGCCTTCTCCCCTCTCCCCCACACGCACACACATTAAGTTAAAGAGACTTCAAGCCAACCATTTTAAAGATACATTATTCCTCAACAAATTTCAGTTACAATAGCATTAAGTATGTGAACTATACAATTTAGGGAAATGGTTGAAGAAAACTGAATGATCAGTTTTAGAGACAAAGAAAAGTCTCCAGCCACAAATGTTTGTTCATTTTGATACTTATTTTCTAAGCCCAGGAGATAGAATATCAGTTTGCTTTTATGAGAACTAGCCATTCCTTACCCAGACAGCAGGGCAAGTGGCTGGCTGTATGTGTTTGTGTGAGTGAAGACTTCATCTATCGGAGAAGAAAAATCACAAGGACATTCCCAGTGCCTTGTCATGTTTCTGAATCTTGTAGACTGGAAGTTCACTGGGTCTATTGAAAATACATACCTCCCAGAGAAGCGTGGCTGGATTCTCTGTCTATATTTTGTACAACAGATCCTTTTGGCAGAGCTATGGTTTCCAATAGCCTGTAGGGAGGGACTGGGCTAGCTGGATGCTTCCTGGTTTCATTAGCATAGCCCAGCCCACTTCTAACACACGCCCAGAGCTACCTCATTAACCATTGGGATTTCAGCCAAAAACATAAAGCTCCAGTGAATATAAACGGAATTACTGGCGAGAGAGCTGGAGACCAACTTACCACTGAACCCATTCCTTTTCCAAGATCAGAAAAAAATAACAGGAACCATTTCTCATTCAGATAAGAATTCAAGGTTTATATCTATAATTTTTGTCTACAATAATTAACGGCACCATAGTAAGACCGACAGCCCAGCTGTATCCATTTAAGTGTTTCTGTTAATCTCTCTCTCTCTCTCTCTCTCTCTCATTTATTTATTTTCTGAGTAGCTTTGACATTGTAAACCACAGACGAATTGGAGCCTGGCATTTGAAAGGAGGTGTTCTGCCACAGATTTCTTTTCCTCCTTGTCTGAAGAAGTTGACTGTTACAAGAGAGAATCTGAAAAATGACAGGGGCTAAGAGGAAAAAGAAAAATGTGCTGTGGAGCAAGATGCATACCCCCCATTGTGAAGACATCAAATACTGGTGTAGAAAGAGGCTCCCTATTTTGGAATGGGCACCACACTACAATCTGAAGGAAAACCTGCTTCCAGACATTGTGTCTGGGGTAATGTTGGCAGTTCAACAGGTGACACAAGGTAATGTACTCCTTCTTCTTTTTTTTTTTCTTCCAATTTTATGCAGAATAGATGTCACTTTGCTTCTTAGAAAGGTATTATAATGGGAGTGACAGTGTGATTAACGAAATGGATATCAACTTTGGGAAAATAAGTAGAGTGTATGTATATCTCTGGTATAATTGCTTTAAAATTTTATTAGCAATTAAGTGTCAAACCAAAATTTGAATGGCATTGCATACTTGTGATGTTCAGATGCATTCTGGTGTTGAATTTAAAAAAATAAGTAATTGTGGGAAAACGAGCTTTTCTAACCAGAACTTGCTGGGATATTTTCCTACCTTCATAGACTCTAGCTGTAAAATATCTCCTGTTTTGAATGCAATTGTTTTTGAACCTAAGTAACAGCACAAAATTACCTGTTGTAGCCTTGAGGGTTGCTGTAAGAAGGGAACAAAGCTTTCTGTACATAAAGAAGGCTCTTTGCCAAGATCATTATTTGCAAAGAGAATCTTCTGTATCCTTAGAGCTTATGTTTTACTGTGTGTGTAGGTTTACTTCTGTATCACATTACCTGCTGCATTTATATCTCAATAAGAAATTTAACCTGGTGAGAACTCTGATTTTAACTTTCCCAAGGCAGATTCTAAATGATACTCTGAGTTTAGATAGTGTTTCTCTTTGTGACAGATACCTAAAGTGTGTGGGTGTTTATTTGTGAAAGTGTGTGTGTGTGTGTGTGTGTGTGTGTGTATGTGTGTGCAGACGTGTGCACACACATGTGTGTTTTCCCTAAAGGCCTATGCATCACAAGTTTTTGCCTAATTCCCATAATAACTTTCTACTTTAGTAAGAACAGGAATTGATATATCCATTTCTCATCCTTAAGGTTTGGGGATTGTTCTCTTGGCATAGAGTTTATAGATTTACATTCTTTGCAGTTTTCCTACCTCCATGGCTTTAACAATTATTTTATTCTGTTAAATTATAAGCACTCATTTAATTAAGTTATCCTGTAGCTAAAGCTAACTGATTTGTATATTTGTGTTTTCAGTATGATGAGGAACATCTGCCTTGGTAGCTCTACTTCACATCCATAGTGCTATCATACTTTATGGGATTCTGTTTCACTGCACAGTCTTGCATTACACATTTAATGACTATTCTGCCAATAGCAAAGCATAATAATCTTTCAGAAAAATGCAAAGTTAATAACTGGTTAGGGCACTCTTGGCCTTGTTTTTATTTGATTTTAAATTCCAAATGAAAAGCCACTCTGTCATTGGAAGACTTAGGTGATAGACTTAAAAGAGGGTATTCTCTAGATAGTTTCAGCATATGTTATACATTTATTTGGTTCCAGTATAATGTAAAATGAAAGAGAATTATGGTTTTAGTTTTCTTTATTTTTAAAAGAGAGCCAGACAAATAAGATTTGGGGATATGATAAAGTTTCCTTTGTCTATCATTATTGATATAGTTTAGGGGTAATCCTTTGGTAGTGGATGGGTTGGCTTTCATTTGGATTTGGGTTTTGGAGGATTCTGTGTTCCAAGTAAGTATCTCACTAGTTGTGAAGAAACATGCTGATAAGTGCCCAGCTGATGAGAAGCACAAAGCTCACTCAGCATTCATGCGATGGGAGCTCATGGAGCTAGCTGCTAGGTGCCTTGGAAGGCACTCACGGAATTGACGAGTTACAAGATATATTGACAAGGTACACTACATTGCTATGAAGAACATAGGGGCTTTTGTTGGTATACAAAAAGGATGAATCTTCCTCAAAGTTACCTAAACATAGTTCTCTCTCGTTTTTCATTCTCATCTACTATGGAGAGTTAAGTAGTGAACTACTGTAAAGCTACATTTCTTGTAGGGGCACTGGACTAACCCTTTACGTATATTGTCCCTTGATCCTAAAACAATTCTGAGACAACAGTTTCCTTCCATGTATGGAAATGGAGGCTTAGAAGAGTAAGGACCTTTCACTGGACCTCCTACCTGAGATGTGGTGGAGTCAGGACTCCATTCCAAAGCCAACATGCCTAACATTTCCACTTCGTACTCCTACTGCCAAAAACAATGAACTTCTCATAATGCCAATGTTATTGGTAATAGGAGACATGTCTTTGGAAAAATAAGAATATTCTTCCCTTCAAATTACTTTTGCATCTAAGTTTCATCCTTGCAGTTTTCAGAATGAAAGGCAAAATGACAAGAAACATAACTATAGAAGGACACAAAGTAAGGATGGTATTTTGATACTACTAACTCCTGTTTGGATGAACATAACATTGGTGATTAGCATCAGTTCCATTTCTAAAAGAAAGAAGGGGTAATGCTTGCTCTTGAATAATAATACAGGCAGCAGAAAAAATACCCTTTTGTAAACTTTATTGATATTTAAAACAACTTTTCAATCACTAACTAAATTAGAAGAAATGATTGAATCCAATGTTTGTTGACCTACAAATCTGGAAAGTTAATGATTCAATCTAATCATTGCTTTTCATTCTCTCATCTCCAGAAATGGAGTTAAAATCAAGGAAAATAATGAAAGCTAGCATGTGAGTATTTCCAATAAGTCAAATACCAAAGATTCATTTTTAATTATTTTGTTTATTTAATTATTTATCTGTTTCTGTGGGTGTATTGAGGTTTGAGCTCAGGGCTTTGTGCTTGCTAGGCAAGTACAGTTCCAATTGAACCATGCCCCTAGCCCTTTTTTCCTTTAGGTATTTTTCAGATAAAGAAGGTCTCATGCTTTTTGCTGGAGCTGGTCTCAGATACTGATGATCTCACCTGTGCTTTTCTTGTACCTGGGACAAGCATGAGCAACTTCATCCAGCAAATTATACTACTTAACATTTTGTAGCTGTGAATGGCTTATGCTTTTCATTTATCAATATACCTGATTCCTCTAGGTATTTCTTACATATGCTGTACTACTTTGGGCCTTTTTTTGGTCTCGGTTTTAAGGTATCATTCTTGTTTTCCTCCTGCTACTTCTCTGGTGTATTCTTCTCAAAGAGGCTCTGTGATTTTGCCTCTTACTCTTCCCCTTAAACATTAGAGTCTTGAAGATTCAAATCATGATCTTCCTCTAAAAGCATCCTAGATGATTTCATCTGCATGAAGGACTCTAGCCACTACCACTGTGTGAATGAAACATTCTTCCTTCCCATACTTACTCATAGAAACCTCCTTGTTCTGAAATCATGTCTAATGGGACATTTGATCTTCTAAAATAAGTAATCTTCAAGCACAAATATGAGCCATGCTGCCAGGCCACTTGGCATATATACACAAGGGAAACACAGAGAAAGATAAATAACTTCCTGAAGCCACACAGCAGATGAGGGTAAGATTTGAATTTAAGTAACCTGATTCCAGAGAGCATGCTATCATCTTTGTACTAGAATTACTCTCACAGGAAGTCCTGTGAGTCATTGTGGAGCTTTCCTTCTATCCCACCACCCTCTTCACTCAACATCAGTCATTAACTTCTTTCATTTATCTCCTCTAAATGTCTTTCCAACCAAGTGGTCTTGTTCTATGGTGTATGTGCTACCCGATTGTGCTGTCTGAGTTGACATTAGCCTCTTGTACATCTTTAGTCTCTGCCCTGTCCCTGCCTATAGGCCATATTCCATACTACAGCCGAATAATAATAATAAACAATATGACCAGATTGCTTCTCTCCCTGTTCATAATCTTTAATGGCTTTCTGTTTCCTTTGGCTATAAACCTGATTCTTGAGCACATCCTATGAGATGGTAAACTAATCTGGGCTTTTTTATATAAAAATCTCTTCTGAGAAGCCTTCAGTCTCATGGGAACATGTCTGTTTTCTTCTCAGTTACTCCCTTTGTGCCTTTCACCTATCTCCATGATACGCTTCGTGTAACACATTGTATTACAAACTTTTGGCACAATGTTTTCCGCACTGATCTGTGAACTTTGGAACCAAAGACAATGTCTTTGGCTTTATAGTCTTACCAACTTGCATCCTGTGAAGTGCATACAAGTAACTTCTCAACATATAGGATATTCTACAGGGAGAATATTATCTAAATACACTATATGCATGATGGGAATGTCATAATAAAACACACTTAAAATTTGTAAAATCATGGGGAAGTTGGGAAGGAGGGATAAAAGTGTAATAGATGGGTGACAATGATTAATATGCTCTTGTGGGAATATCACAATGAAACCTCTCTCATTGGACAATTATTACAAGCTACTAAAAATGTACAGAAAAAGACATGTTATAAACTATGGACTGTGCTACTTCCATAAGAAAGAAGCATGCTGACTTTCAACTAGTTTTTAGGTTTCAGAAAGAAATATAATAAAGTTGCAGATAGTAGAAAACTACATAAACTTAACGAGTAATTGGTTTCTTCCAACTTATATTCATTTCACGTAGTTATAAATTTGCTGCCCTCTGAACCAATCTGCTAAATGGTATGAATTCTTTGTCCCAAGCAATGTTTTCTTCAACCAACATTAACAAATGTAGATAGTTGATATAAAAATACAGATACTTAGTTTCTCTCACAAAAGAAAAGACATGGCCATACAGAGCACACATTCCCTGGAGGAATCTGGATGCTCTCATCAGAAGCTTCCCCTAGAAACTTTGCATTTTGCACAGTCTCTACAACTCACTCTTCTGCCACGCTTCCTGATTACTCTTGTGGGTGGCTGAGGATTTTTTTTCCATCTGCAAATATATTTTCTTTCAAAAATTTTTTATTTTACATTTTTATTATTATCTTTATGTAATGGTACAAAAGAGTTGCCATTGAACAGAGCAGTTTCTGAATACAATCAATCTTGATCAGTTTCACTCCTTTCAATATTCTCACTCTTCCCTCCACTACCTACTGCTTCTCTCATCTTCCAATTTTATAGGATATTCATTAGATTCTTGACTTCAATGCCCTCCTATTCCCTTTTTCATTTGCCTATGTGATTTTTTGGGGGGATGCTTCAAAATGCTTCAAATCTATCCT